GCCTGGCAGGCAGCACTGAGGAATTATACCTCGCCTTTCAGCCTCAAATCACTTCATTGCTCTTAGTTTAATGAGCTCACTAATAAGGCAGTGATGGGCGGAGCCTCACATTCACACAGCTAAACACAACAAAGCACCGCCAAAAGCACAAACAGGACACCTGAACCTGACATTACCTACACTGTGTGTGTGTGTGTGTGTGTGTGTGTGTGTTACTGCAGGGCTGGGTGTTGGAGGGAATCCCTCAGACTCGCCTGCAGGCTCTGAGTCTGCAGCAGGGCGGAGTCATCCCCGAGCACGTTGGTAAGTAACAGGAAGTGAGATCATGCTTTGTGCCCTGCGCGGCTGCTTCCTGTGTGACATCACGCTGTGGTATGTGTCATCAGTGATGCTCGAGGCGGCGGATGACGTGCTGATGGAGAGAAGTTGCGGACGGCTGGTCGACGCAATCACTGGGGGTGAGCCCACGCCCATAATCAAACATCAGTGAATATGTTCTTTCCTTGTGACATCACTTCCTGTCTGCAGACCTCTACCATCGGACTTTCATCCTGCCAGATGATGACATTATCACTCAGCGTCTGGAGAAGGGGAAGAGTCTGACAGACCAACAGAGACTTGCTAAGCTTCACCGTTACTGTTGTGAGGTCACGGGTCTGAGATCAGCCTATAAGCACGTGCTCAAGGTCATCGACAGCGACCAACCACACGCTGACATCTACCAGCAAGGTACAGACCCACACAGACTCTCTCACACACACACAGACTCACACACACACAGATGCTGATTGGTCAGTGAGGAGTGTTTGCATCATCGGTGTGAACGATGCTCTCCTGTGGTTGAGTCCAGGTTCAGGCTCCTCCCTCTCAGACCTGCGGTGTGCCACAGTTTTGGTTCTGCTCGTCTTCAGCACGTTTTGAGCAGCTTTGCTATGCAGATGATATTCAGGTGTTTTTTGCTCTAAGCCTCGAGACGTGTGTCCAGATCCTGCAGAGGTGCTTGGACTCTATTAAAAGTTGGATGTCTGACAGTTTTTCTCCATCTTAATGAAGAAGAAGCTGGAGGCCCTGTTCGTGCCCCTGACAGAGTTGTACCTGACGGAGGCTCTTGGTCCCCTTGCTCCGTTTACTAAATCCTCTGTCAGGAACTCTGAGGGGACCTGGACTCTATGATGATTGAACTACATCCTGCAGGTGCCAGAGGTCATGTGATCAGGGCCTGCTGGCTGGAGCCTCGGACACATCTAAACACTTGGCGCTTGGCTTTATGAACTTTATGAACGGTGCTGCAGGAATGAAACTGTTCTTTAATGATGCCTCAGTGAAACAGTCACAGAGCAGGCAGCTCCAGCATCTTGTCCTCAGGTGTGCTCTGTACACCTGAGCTCGTTCTTTCTGTGATCTACCTGCTGATTCAGGTAAAGCATTAACTGGTGTGTGTGTGTTTTTTCTTAGTGCTGGCTTTTGTCCGGACTCGTCAGCGCTCCAGAACTCCCAGAATCCTCCTGCTGGGACCACCGGGGTCTGGAAGGAGCCGTCAAGCCCAGCTGCTGTCAGAGAAGTACGGGATGGTGGACGGTACGCAGCCAGGATGGGGTCACAGTTGAGGGACACCAGCTCAGGCTCACTGTGCACCCAATAGGAAGCTCCGGGCGAGTAGCTGCTAAATACAAACCTGCCACAGTCTCTTTGTAACATGTAAAGATATGACAGAGACCTTAAAGGGTCAGAGGTCACACTGATGAAAAGCATGTCCTGGCAGGTCACATATAGGTCAGAGTGAAATCTGAGGTTTCGCTCAGGTGAAGGAAGTAATGAGAATGGCCAAAGGTCACATGACGAGGACTGTTTTCACTTTTTACTGTGTGTGTGTGTGTGTGTGTGTGTGTGTGTGTGTGTGTGTGTGTGTGTCAGTGAGCTGTGGTCGTTTGCTGAGGTCTGTAGCTGCAGCTGCTTCCAGTCGAGGAGCAGAGGTCCAGGCGTACCTGGATGACAGACGTCCAGGTGAGCACACACTCATGTCTGCCTGCGGCTGCGATGTTCTCTATCAAACCTTCCAGAAAGTGCCGCTCGTCTCGTGTCAGTCCACACAAGGTTTCCCACAAGTGTGTGGGACCATCCAGAGGTTTTTTGGACATGTTTATGGTGTGACTAATGTGCAAAAAAGAAATCAGGGAGGGGGCAGAGACAGTACGAGCTGACATAAGCCTCCGACCGTCGCTGCCGAGGCGCGGCCGGCTGTGACCGTGTGCGCTAGCGTCCAGAGGGCGACACTAACCCTGTTGTGGCTGCAGTTTCAGACTCGCTGCTGCTGCAGGTCCTGGAGGAGCGGCTGAGCCGACCCGACTGCACCCGCGGGGGCTGGATCCTGCACGGCTTCCCCTGCGACCTGCAGCAGGCCCGGAGCCTGCAGGAGAGCCACCAGCAGCCCAACAGGTACAGGCTCACTGTACTCACGGAGCCGTTCTCCAGAAAACTCCGAAATCCTTTTAACCTGCTCGCATTCTCGTCTCGTCCTCCTCTTACTGTCAGGGTTTTCTTCCTGGAGCTGACCGATGACGTTTGCCTGGAGAGACTCAGTCTGAGAGCTACAGACCCGGTCAGCGGTCAGAGGTCAGGAACTCAGATTTACCTGTGACGGGAAAATTCCCACTGCAGGGAGAACACGTCTGCATCATGCTGTTGCAGTGCTGATGGTGCAGTGGTGGTATTGACCGTGTGTGTGCGTGCGTGCGTGTGCAGCTTCCATCCTGTGACTCGGCCGGCTCCGAGCTCTGAGGTTCAGCACAGACTAAAGACCCGACCTGAGGACAGCATGGAGTCTGTAACACAGAGACTGAAACAGTACAGGCTCCACAGCGCCGCCCTGCAGGTACACACACACAGGAGAGAGATGGAGGCAAAACATTAGGAACAACAACAAAGACTAAAAGGCCAAAAACAAAGCTGTGATTTAAACCCATGGATCATAAGATCAGAACAAGCAGCAAAGATGAGCTGTAACCCGCAGGTGCACGCAGGTGAAAATCTAAGTGTGTGTGTGTGTGTGTGTGTGTGTGTGTGTCAGTCTGTCTATCCTGAGGCCATTCACATCGATGCTGATCAGGACCCTCACTCTGTGTTTGAGGCCGTGGCGAGCAGGCTGACCTCTGAGTGACCTCTGACTCACCTGGACTCACCTGAACAAGCTGAGGTCACATGATTGTCTGTAAAAATAAAGCATGTGCTGCTCCTCCCTGTGTTTGTTATGCTTCTCTTCAGGCAGAGCTCCCACCTGACCTGCTCTCACTGACTCCGCCCACTCGCCCATGTGTTTTGTTTTCCAGTAAAAGTCTGAAGCACATTTTACTAAAATCACAGAAACAAATAAAGACGGAAGTTTCGGGGAAACCTGAGCACGACTGTGACACACACACACACACACACTGAGCACCTGTGGTTGTCCGAGTCAGCTGATCTCACAGATCAACAACAGTTTCACTCAGCTGCACTGAGCATGCTCAGTACTACGAGCGTCAGTACATTGTAGTACAAGTAATAGTTTGACTACTATGCAGTAGCATCAGTAGTGTATCAGTACTCTGATGGCGGTGTGTGTCGGCGGCCTCGGCGTGACTGACAGCCATTGACGTCTCTGTCAGCTCGCTGCCGTCTCCTCCCGTGTGAGAGCAGTAATCACAGTTTAGGACGCCTTCATGTTAAAATATCTCCGTTTACCTCTGAAGTCGAGATTGAAACCTCACTCAGACGCTCGCCGCCGTTTCAAAGCGCTGATTTGGGTAAATGACTATAATTAATCCTCCGCCGCGGCGGTTTGAGGCCCCGCGGGGCCGGGCGTGCCGTTTGATTGACAGCTCTATTTTTAAGCCTTCCTGCTGACAACAGGACGTGGAGCAGGAGGGAACGGGGACGTTTGATGGACAGTTTGTCCTCATTTCCTCTTCCTCCTGCCATGAAGTCCACCTGACGGCACTGATTGGAGGAAAGTTTCTCCTTGAGAATCTGGACCAGGTTCTGGAGCTGAGCGGGTAAGTTATTGAAACCATTCTGACGGCAGAGCCACGAGGATGCTGCGAGCGGTGGAGATGGAGATGGTCCGCTGTGGCGGACCCTGAAGGAAAGAATAGAATCTCTGAGTAGTGTTGCTGGAGGAGGCCGGCGCTGCACTCCCTGCAGGCTCACCTGCAGTGTGACTTGGAAGCTCAAACCACACCTGCTGCACCGCCCGCCCGACCCTCCAGTGTTCTCGCTGACAGCAGGATGTTCCTCCCTCTGATTGACTCCCTGAAATAGTTTAAGGATATAAATGTTTATAATAACATCCAAAGTATGTCAGTGTTTTTTTACACGCAGGCAGTATCCCTTATTACTAGTGTGTGTATCCGGAACGAGATGACGCTACTGCGCATGTCCACGCAATCAGCTGCTTAGCGGAGAAGGCGGGGTTTGTGACGTAGCAGGAAGCGTTAATCACGCGTGTCTGTTCGTGTGGAGAGTTTCACAGTGAGTATTTATTTGTCTCGTTTTCCTCTTTTTAATTTATTTTTCTTTTAATCTGAAAGGTCTTCGCAGACCGGAAGTTTCTGTTAGCATCAGGTCAACGGTAGCAGCCGCGCGGGGCGACACGTGTGTGTGTGCGCGCTCTCGTGTCGAACTTTAAACACGCCGCTCTGTGGTGGGTTAAGCTCCTCGTGGGCCTAACTCACAGCTGTTTTACACGTGACTGAAGGTAAACTGCTGCGCAGCTGAACCAATAAGAGAAGCTCTTCTTCAAACTGTTTGTGAACGGAGTTTGGTGTGAGAGTGACTCACGGCTCTGTGTTTACCTGTAGTTTGTGGACACACGCACACCTCTGATGATGTCATCTTCCGATGAACAGTTGTGTCGGAACAGCTCCAGCGACATGACGTCACCGCCATCCCGCAAACGGAAACGTCAGAAGGCTCAGCAGCCATGGGTGAGCTCTCTCTCTGTCTCTCTCAGTGCGTTCATTTGATGTTTCTGTGACTTTGAGGTGCCGCAGAAAGCAGAGAAGAGGAGGAGCTCCTTCATACTGCAGGTGGCAGCAAAGGAGGAGGAGCCTGCAGGTGCAGATCCAGGTTTCCTCTGTTAGCCGGCTCAGTAAATCCAAACCGCTGTCTCTGTTAAGCCCTTCAGCTTTCAGCCTGTTCACTCTTCTTCTGTATGAAAAGCATCAGCAGAGCTCCGCCCACTGTTATCAGAGGAACAGCTGATTCGGTGGTTAGTGACTTGATTCATGTGGGAAACATTGTCTCACTGAGAGGCAGCAACACAATCAGACCGTGGATTTTAAACACAAACTCTGAACCAGGTGATGTGCTCAGAAGCCGTTACCATGGTGATCTAACAGGGGAAGCTGCCTTCATGTCATCATAGCTTGCTAACCTGCTAACCTCACTTCTTAGTTACAGCTTTCGCCCATGGCAACTGCAGAGAGCCACAGAATAAAGGCTGCAGTTCCCTTCATGACCACAGGGGTCACCATATGAACTGTCTTTATTTTTTAGGCTCCACCCAGTGATGGGACAGACGGGACCCCAAAGAAGAAGAAGAAGGATGGAGCGAAGGAAACGGGACGTGGCGGCATCAAGACCTCCTCACTGTTCAAACATAACCCTGACATCCCAGACATCCACAGGTGCAGCTCCGCCTCCGATTGGCTCATTGAACCAGCTTCTCGGCTGGTTCTGATTGGCTCAGACTGCAGAACGTTCCGGAGTGATCAGTAATCAATAATTTGGAGTCTTCTTTCCTTCAGACCAGCCATCGCTCAGCTGAAGGAGAAGATTTTTACCTCCGACTCGTTTTCAGACCTCGACCTGCACCCTCACTTGGTAACACACACACACTTTCGTCTGTCTCACATTCAGCATCGCTGCTTCATTGTCAGCTGCTCTGATTGGCTGTTTCTGTCTTCTAGGTGGCCACTCTGAACAAAGTTATGAATATTTCTACACTCACCAGGTTGGTTTTTACACACACACACCTGACTGTGACCTGATCAACGTATAAACTCTACAAAGGGACATTGCAATGTTGTTGTTTTGTTTTGTTTATTTTTTAAAATACTTACGCAGTGTACAGAAGCAGACGATCCCAGCTCTCCTGGCGGGACGCGATGCTGTGGTCCGCTCTCAGACAGGATCAGGTGAGTCACCTGTCGTACCTGATACAGCCAGACTGCAGCAGGTCTCTGTGGGTCAGTGAGTCACACTGAGGTGTTCTCAGGTGAGAGGGTCTCCTTCTGGGTGGACATAAAACACGTCACCTGACTCAGGAGGTGTCCAGGTGACCTCCTGAGTCAGGTGAGTCAGGGCTTGTTAATGTGTGTGTCTGCAGGCCTTTTGTGGGTGTTTATCGTACGTGCATATCGATGCAGCCCAGTTTAGTTCCTGCAGCGTCGTGTTGTTTTTGAAGGTCACATGTTCAAACATGAACGTACAGGATCAGAACTACTCTCTGTAACGAGGAAGAAGGTTTGTATTAGATTGCACTGTGAGGAAAGTCATTTAGCAACATGTCCTAATGAAAGCCACCCAAACGTGTCTGCAGGTAAAACTCTGTCCTATGCCGTCCCGCTGGTCCAGAGTCTTCAGTCGATTCAGCCGAAGGTCAGCAGGTCAGATGGTCCTCTGGCTCTCATCATCGTCCCCACCAGAGAGGTTCAGTCAGATTAGCACGTTTCACTGTAGTGTCATCCGTGACTTCCTGTTCACACGCTGAAGGTTGGCTCTTCTTCTGTTTGTCAGCTCGCCCAGCAGACCTTCCAGACCTTCCAGAAGCTTCTGAAGGTAACACAGTATTCACAGCTGTTGTTTCATATTGTACTCTATGGTTAAAGTCCCTAAAGCAGATGGAGGCGCTCGTTCTAAACGAGTTGTTACCTCTGTCACATGGACACGCTCCGGTCCCACCACAGACACGACAAACCCACCAAACACAGTCAAACGTTAGAATGCGGCACAACGTCAGAGACCAAAGTAATGAAGGAAGTGTGCAGCGTAGCTTACCACCCTGCAACGGCCGACATGTGGACGAGCCAAACAAAGTGTGCTTAGCGCTGCAGTCGATGTTTGCACAGCCGTGGGTTTCCTGACGTCCACACGGGAGCAGGAATGACAGCCGGACGCCTCGCGTCACTGCGTGGGGTCAGCCAGTGAGTGTCACTGTGGGCCACGTTCATTTTGTAAGAATGAAATAGTACTTAGGATGTGGTGATTATGGAAATCCTTCACTGCATTTACAGCATCAGCATAGTCGTGCAGAGAATATGGCAGCATAGATCCCAAAGCAGGGCTGGGTCCCAGTATAGACCCCCGAGGGGCGGCTGTCCCACCAACCCAGCACAAAGTCCAAATATTCACCAGAATCAGTGGCTCTGAAAATTCACTAATCACTTCACGGCCCCAGCTCTGCGTTTTTCAAAGGTGTGTGCTTGCTGTGGTTTGTAGCACCAACAACTTCCTGCTTCGCATGTGGATATAAAAATCAGCAGCTGACACAGAAACGAGAGCTTTGCGTGAGCCGCTCTCAGGTGTGTCTCTCTCTTTGCAGCCGTTTACCTGGATCGTTCCGGGTGTCCTGATGGGAGGAGAGAAGAGGAAAGCGGAGAAGGCCAGGTGTGATCACAAAGCACGTTTGTTCGTCAGCTCTGGAAAAAGAGCAAAGCTGTGTGGCGCTCAGCAGAGCTCAGATCCAGGCTTTTAGAGATGTGAAGCTTTCGGGGCTGCTGGAGTCTGTTCTCAGCTGCTCTGTGGCGTCTGAAGCGATGCTGTCGTAACAATATTATTCTGTCTTCAGGATCCGTAAAGGAATCAACATCCTGGTTTCGACTCCTGGACGTCTGGTGGACCATATCAAAAACACCCTGAGCATCGCCTTCAGCGCCGTCTGCTGGCTGGTCCTGGACGAGGCCGATCGGTAACTCTTAGGCGTAGTTGACTCCGATTCCCTTTGATCGACGCCCTCCTGCAGCGTGGACTTAATTTTATGTCCATGTGTGCGTTCAGGACGTTGGACCTCGGCTTTGAGAAGGACCTGACGGTCATATTAAACAGCCTGAACTCTGCGGGACCAGCCCGACAGAACGTGCTGCTCTCTGCGACGCTCACAAATGGCAAGTCCACCGCTGTGCTGCCCCTCCTGTAGTTCCTCTGTCGGCCCGTAGAGGGCAGTATAACAGCCTCTGTGTGTTTCAGGTGTGACGCGGTTAGCAGACGTGTGTTTAAACGACCCGGTCAGCATCCACGTGTCTGGCGCTCCCTGCTCTGACCTCACCACCACCTCCGCTGTAACATGTGACCCCGAAGGAGCCAGCCAATCAGAGAGCTTTGCTGTGCCTGAGGCTCTGAAGCAGTTTGTGGTGGTGGTTCCCAGTAAGGTCAGACTGGTCTGCCTGGCTGCTTTAATACTGGACAAATGCAAGGTGAACAGTCTGGAAGTGGTCATAACGATAAGTACAAGGCAGGAAGGAAAAAAAGGAAAGCTAAAATCTGATTGGTCCTCGATGTTTTCCTTTCAGTTTTCTCAGAACGACAAACTCATCGTCTTCATCTCGAGCTGCGAGGCCGTCGAGTTCCTTCACTCTCTCTTCACCGCTGTCCTCTCCAGGCCCTCAGCCAATCACAAACCTCCGCTGAGGTTCCTGCGTCTCCATGGCAACATGAAGCAGGAGGTAATGCTGCCGTTTTGCCGCCGTTTCTGCTGCTGTCCGCCTCTCAGTGTTAAATGCGTGTTTGTTTTCCCCACCAGGACCGCACGGAGGCCTTCCAGCAGTTTTCGGCGTCACAGTCGGGAGTGCTGCTCTGTACGGTCGGTATCCTTTAACCTGCAGTGTGCGCTGTGACCACCAGGGGACAGACTGTATTTTAAACACAACACATGACTGTACATATATGTAATACATATGTAAGTCGTGTCCAAATTCATGGGCTGCATCCTCCTGAGGATCCGGCCTTCGCGGTCTACGTGGGCCGGGTCCTCAGAAGGTCGGGCAGGCCGGAAGTAAACGGCTGTGAAATGGGACGGTCCAGCCTTCAGATTTGTTTCGGGGATTCGGGGAAAAGGAGGACGCATTTGTCGGCTGCATTCAGAGGAGTCTACGAATTTGGACGGCCTTCGGCGCGTCGCTGTGACGTAATCGGTCAAATGCGGCCTCGGGAGGAAGCAGCCCATGAATTTGGACACGACTGTAAACTTCCTTTGTGTGCTCTTTGTTTCAGGACGTGGCAGCCAGGGGCTTGGACCTGCCCCAGGTCACCTGGATTATTCAGGTGACTTTATGTTATCGAATGAATCAGAAGGATGCAGCGAGTGATTTATTTTGTCTGAAAAGGATGGCATGAGTGAGAGTCACGACTGGAAGAGTTATGGTTGGGTAGCAGGGCTTGTGATTCCAGATGATGAGCCTTTATTAATAATTTGTGATGATGGGTTTGTGGATGTAGCCAATCTGGTGGCAGCTCTGCAGTGAGGTCATGTGTGGGGCGGATACCTGTCGTTTGAATCGTTTGTCAGCAGAAGACGGGGTCTGTAAACAAGTACGCTAACCCAGGTTTCCTGGTCTGTACGAGTCTGATGATGAGTCATTGGCTTATATAAGCACTGCAGTTCCTGTAATGTCCACTAGGGGCTTTATGCAGAAATAATTTTGAAGTAATTGCTCAGAGGTGTCGCAAAGATGGCCGCCAAGTGTTTGCTCAGTAGAGCTTAGAGCGTAAAGCTGGTCAGCTCAGTAGAGACGGTGTCGTCTCCATAGAGACGAGCTGTCTGTCGAGAAGCTGCTTCTGCTGCTGAGTGGCGACACAGCGGAGGGGAGGAGGAAGCGTGCAGAATAAACGGGCTCAGATCGCAAGCACCTACATAATGTATCTAGCCAATCAGCGAGCAGGACATGACTGATAACCTTTTTGGTTTTTCCCAGTACACTCCTCCCACCGCAGCGGCCGAGTACGTTCACCGCGTCGGACGTACAGCTCGGATTGGAGCGCGAGGAAGCAGCCTCCTCTTCCTCACCCCCGCTGAGACCGCCTTCATCACTGAGCTGGCCAATCACAACATCAGGTTTGCTGACGTGCAGTGTCATGCTGGGTGGTACTTGTGCTGGTTTTAACCATGTGGGTGGGGCTTACTGTGTTTCAGCCTATCAGAGATGAAGCTGCAGGACATCCTGTCCAGTCTGATGTTTGATGATGTCTACAAGGGGCGGGGCAAGTACCATAGCAAGGTAGGTCACTTCCGAAAACTTCTGTCAGGTGGCTGCAGGTGAGGCTGGTGATCAGATGTGATTGGCTGAGACACTAAATGTTTTTTGTTTTTTTTTATTTCTGCCATTTTTTTATCTTGAGCAATTCAAGCTCCGCCTCCTAGTTAACTCTGGTAACTTGTAATAGCTGAATAGCACCAGCAGGCGGCGCCTCCTTTGACGTTTTTGAATGTAGGCTCCCATCATAGACTCTGAATGTGTTGCCATGGAAACCTGGCATTGTTGGGCCATGTAGACAGTGTGGAGGTCTCCATCAGCTCTGATGCTGTTAGCGTGCGCTGCAGGGCATGCTGAGTGACGCAGCGGCTACGATCTCCACCTGTGACCTGCTTCAGAAGCTGGTCGCCCATAACAACCAGTCCGAGCCGATACCAGCCCATTCCAGCTGGTATCGGCTTAGCGACTGGTGCCGCAGCTTTGTGAGGCGAGCGTGAGCAGGAGGTCACCGCTTGTGCTTAAAGAACAAGGTGTGTTTAGCGGCGAGCAGATCGTGCCCTGATGACGAGGAGGCGCCAGCCTGCTCGTTAGTCTCCAGACACAGGAAGCGTGTCGTTTCTGCCTGGAGCCCGCCTGCGGGGCCATCCCCCTGTGTGTGTCGCTGTGTTTTTAATGAGGCTCTTGTAGTATTTTTAAAAAGCTTTAAGACTCTGAGAGAGTGAGACCCCGGCCCAGGCCGCCTGCTGTGCGCCGCTTTAAAGTCGCTCCTGTCAGCCAGTCAAAAGCGCCGTGGTGACGGCGTATGTGAAGCAGGTTCAGCCTCTGATGTTTCTGCTTCCATGACGCGTGACCTGCCACGACCTGATGCTTGTGTCGTCACGCTGTAGCTGTCAGAACAGATTTCAGCTCCTCTCTCTCCACGTCGACCTTTATTTAAACATCTGTTGAGCAGACATCAGGTGGTACGTGGGCGCGTCTCGCACGCTGCCGTGGGGGCGATGTTCGTGCTGATGCGGGAGCAGAGCTGCTGAATCAAACACAGTCTGAAAATTCTGGATTCTTCCCTGTCAGAGTAAACAGGAATAAATCAGTGTGGGGCGCGAGCGCTCGCACGTTCGACCCGCAGCAGCTAAAAATAATCATTTGTGTTTGCACAGCTCACACGTGCTCAGCAGCGCTGTGACGAGCAGGATTGCACCTTACAGTAGCCCCTCCCACGACCCCAGTCTGAAGTCCTCACCTTTAACACGGGTCAGAGCAATGAGTGACATCACAGACCACGCAGCCCAGCGGGGGGCGCTGCACCACGCTGGTCACATGTGGTGCTTTAGTAAACCGTTCCAGCGCTGAGGCGAGGGAGCGGCAGATTTCCGGAGCACGGCTGAGTCTGACGTGTTTTTTTTTTGTTTTTTTTGTTTTTTTCTTCTTCTTCCTGTCAGAGTTCGTCCAAAGCTCTGGAGCAGGAAGTCCGCGAGCGAGCGACCGTCCTTCAGACTGAGTTTGAGAACTTTGTCCACGCGGACGCTCGGTCGCTACAGGCTGCCAAGAAAGGTAACGACGGCGAGAACGTGACGAGAGTGAGGAGAACGTGCTGCTGTTTTATTGGCTGACCTGTCACTGTGATGTCAACAGCACTGCAGTCCTTCCTGCGAGCGTACACCACCTACCCTGCTCACCTCAAACACATCTTCCACATCCGCTCGCTCCACCTGGGCCACGCCGCCAAGAGCTTTGGCCTCAGAGATGCTCCGCAGGGTCTGACTGCCGCCGCCGGTCCCGGGGCCTCCGGGAGCCACAGGAAGAACCAGAACCAGGCCCGGAAGCAGACCGGGAGTCCGGCCAAGAACCAGAACCAGAAGAAGCTGACTGGAAAGAAGAGGTGAGTGAGGACTGTGCAGCCGAGGGTTCTAACCTTAATTTAAACACACACAGAGTCGGGATGGACGCGCTGCACACCTGGACCAGCAGGTGTGACTGTTTGAAATGATGCAGTCACCAGCTGAGCGCACGCTCACCTCCACCACTCCATCGCTGAAGCAAACGTTTGCTCAACGCTTTCTAGACGAGAACACAGACACACAGCGTGTCAGGATGTCAAAGGGCGTATCAGCCCAGAAGCTGTGAGGCTGTTTGTCAGCACACGGCCCCGACGCGCTTCGTGTAAGCGAAGGAAGCACGAACGCCTTCAAACACAAAGATGGAGACAGTAAAAGCGCTCAGGCGAGGCCTCGACGCAGCACGGTGTGTGTGTGTGTGTGTGTGTGTGTGTGTGTGTGTGTGTGTGTGTGTGTGTGCGCGTTCGTGTGTGTGTGTGTGTGTGTGTCTGTGTGTGTGCTCGTGCTCATTGGTCCTGCTGTGATGACTGCCACAAACACACACGCTTGTACATAATCAAAGTGGGTCCCCTCAGTCACACATGGTGTTTACACGCCGTCCACTCAGGAGTGCGTGTGCGTGCGTGTGTGACATGTATAAAGAAGCTGATTATAAAACTAATACTGTTCTTGTTGTCAAGACGACGAGCTGATGGCGCCCTTCTTCCTCTCTGTGTCTCAGGTTTGGTCAGAGGGAGGTCCGGCTGATCCGCTCAGAGTTCTCCAGCGGGCTGGAGAGTAGAGACGCCAAGAAGAAGAAGGAGGAGGAGTAGGAGTGATGAAGAAGAGTCTGATGTTGAGCAGCTGAGGCGATGGTCAATATATAAAAGATGTGATTGATGCTGACGTGTGAGCGAGCTCCTCCTCCTGCCTTGGCTGGTTGGCTGGTGCACTCGTCGGTCTGTGACGAGATTTTTGAGTTTCAGACGGTCGCAGAATAACGACCATCGGACCGCTCCACTCTCACCACTTCACGCACGTTTCTGTCGCTCCGAGCTGCGAGTTTGAAACCCGAGTGCTGCTCGTGGACACGCCCCCGACTCCCCGCCCTGTTCCTGACTGTGCACCTGTGTCATTTGTCCTTAGGGGCCACTGTACTGCATCCCCAACATGAACCCGTGCTAATAAAAGCAGATGTTTGTGTGCAGATGTTTGTGTGCAGATGTGTTCTTCCAGCTGTTTTCACTTTTGAAGCAAAGCAGACGAGATCCTCGTGACAACGCTTCAGTGTTCACGGGGGGGGGCTCTATTGTATTGAGGTTTCAATTTTGCTCTTGACCAAATATGGTTACTTCCTGGAACAAAGCCAGTTCAGCCTTAGAGGTGGGGCGAGGAGCTCAGAGGAGAGCCGCTCGTAGGTGCAGCTGGGAGGAGGAGGATGGGGAGGTGCGTCCCAGTCGGAACCAGCAGAGTGCCGCCTGCTCACCAGACAGAGTTGCTGTAAACCCAGCCTGGGACCCAATCAGAGCCATCGCTTTCACTTTGAATCAAAGGAAAACAACAATGAGAATCTTTATTTTCTTTATTGAAAATGTAAAAAACGAAGTCAGAGCTACAGAAACGCACAGAGAAGTTCGTGGCTCGACCACGGCTCTACACTCCTGCCTGGACTCGCTGTCCAGACGTGAACGTCACTGTTGTGTTTTCTTGCTTGAGCCCCGCCTCCTGAGCCCCGGCACCGCCACAGCAGTTTGTTCCTGAGGGAACCAGTCCGAGTCAGTGGGGAAGGGGCTGAGTGTGGGTGAGAATGTGGGGTAGCAGAGGCGGGGCTGGGTGGTGTTGGTGGGCGTGGCTTCGATACAGGTATAGGTTCATTGTGGGCGGGGCAGGAGGGTACAGGTAGTGCGTGGGCAGGAACATCCTGCCGGCCTCGGCCAGCAGCTCCAAGCCGGCGGCAGACTGACGCTTCCACTTGGTCCTGCCGGGAAAAACAAAGCACACGTTACTCACCGCAAACACACCTTACCCCAGTCTGCTGTCACGTGACTGGACCTGAACCAATCAGCAGGTGTCAGCACATGTGTAGTGAAATTCCCTCCATCCGGAGCACACGTGAGTCTACATGATCATAAAGACTGCAGCAGACATGAGGCGACCCGATTGGATCAGAACCTGCAGACAGGAAGCAGATGTTCCTCCAGCTGTGTAACAGGCTTTAACGCCCAGAACACAGCGTCTGCTGACACGTCTGTCTTCCTTCAAGACAGCTGTCATCTGATTGGCTGCCCCTCACTAACAGAACAGTGGGCAGGGTATCTGCCCCCTCTATGACATCACAAAGATTGGAGCGTAGAAAAAAACTATGACAAACTGAGTGTTTGGAGCAGACTGAGGCTGCGGAGCTTTTCGCTCACAGGGTCACCGCTGTGTTCGTCCTTGAGATGATCACAGTCTGCGCTCACATCGCGGTCATGTGATCAGGTTCAAATTTCATGTCAGTAAACTTTAAAGAGTTTTTTAATAAAGAAGAAAACAAAATAATGACCAACCACGAGTCCAGGACCGGGACGACCATTAATCTGCTTGATGTTGTGGTACCAGGTGTGTGTTTACCTGCGGTTCTGGTACCAGGTCTTGACCTGCGTGTCGCTGAGCTGCAGCGAAGCCGCCAGCTCCATGCGCTCCTGGACGCTCAGATATTTCTGTTTCTGGAAGCTTCTCTCGAGCCTCGCCAGCTGCTGGTCGCTGAACGCCGTCCGTGCCTTACGAGGTTTCTTGAGGCGTGACGTCACCGAGTCGGAGCCGGCGCTCTGCACTGAGGTAGGAATGACGTCACATTAGTCCTGTAAGCTGATTGGTCGGCGACAGAGAAAAACCAGGTACAGCTCATTCATGATAGTCATTTATTATGATTCAGCTTCTGTTTTAAAAGCCGAGGTTCAGCAGATGAAAGTGATCAATAAAAAAGCGAATATTGATTGACAGCATTTATCAGATTGTTGCGTTGTTCTTACCCGAGGAACGACCACAGTCTGTGTCTGTGGTGTGAAACTGATCAAAGTATCAGACGTGAGGCTGCAGAGTGAACCGACCCCGGCCTGCTGTTCGTTAAACGATTCCAATCATGGTTTTATCTCCGTCACAGCTGTCAGATTAAAAGTGTTTTGAATCACGTGATCACATGTGCTCGCGTTCGCGTGCCAAGTTTAATGAAACCGCCACGATATGATTTTGAGTTTTACAAAAAAAGATGAACTGAAATGAAGATAATGTGGTCAGAGAATCATTTGTACTGAGGTAAGCGTCTCTGCGACATTTCATGTCACAGCTTTAATGATGAACCACGGTGATGACGGCCGTTAGTCATAGTCAGCAGGTTTGAGCTGCTTCAACGTTTAAAGCTAAATATGAACAAATACAATGTTTTAAGTTAAATGACTTTAGCGGTGCTTTCATGTGACCCACACCCACGGGAGCTCTGCTGTGATTAGCAGCTGAACAAAAACCCTGAAAATACACAATAATAACACAAAACAACGAAGCCGCGTTTCAAACTGTGCAGCAAAGACAAAAATATGAACCATCCGCAGGTCTGATGGCTGCGCCAGCGGCAGCTCACTGCGACCGAAGCCGGTTAAAGGTTTCAAGGTTCAGAAGCCGTGACGGAGATTCCTGCGTGATCAGTGTTTTTAATCGGTGCTGATGAAGCTGTGTTTCTCTGTATGGGTCACAAAAACAAACAAACAAACAAACAACAACAACAACTCTGGTGACATTTCCCGAGTTTCATTATTATAAAATCTGACCAATAAGCTTCAATAACCTGGATTTAACTTTTATTTTGAAAAACTGCTCACGTCCGCTGTGTCCTCTCTGATTAAACATCGTGCATGAGCTGTACCTGAGTACAAACACAGAGCAGGGATGTAAAGTAGTGCACAGCTGCTTTTTTAACTTCACGTGATTCCTGCAGGATCACCCGTGACTCCATCTGTCACGGTTTCAACTGAGTGAAAGAAAGAAGCGCAGGTCCTCTAAAATAAAAGACCCAGAGTCAGCGGGCAGGAGGCTGCTTTGTTTTCACTGATTAATGAGACTCACAGATCATCATCAACACCCCGATCACCGATTAGAAGTTATGATAAAGAATCTTTAAGATTATGAATTTCATTTCTGTCTCAAAATGAGAAAAACACGTAACGCAGAAACTTTATTTTCGCTTTAAAACAGTTCGACTAACAAGTAAATGAACGCTCAGATTGATTTCTCTCAATTAAAACACAAAAGGTTTGTAATAACGAGACTGTTTCTCTGTTTCACTGACTTTATTCATCTGATTTTTATTTCTGTCCACGAGTGAAAAATATTTTTGGTTTCTTGGTCGTTGAAAGAAGAAAATAACCTTCTGAGGTTTTTAATGAAAATAAAATCCGCGTGATTCTCATTTTTATTTTGATTGAAACTTTACTTTCTCCTTCTTTAAACTCTTTTCTCTGTTTTTACCTGTTTCGCTGTCTGAAGATGAGCTGCTGAGACTTTTATCCTGGAAATCTTCATCCTGTCCGGACCGGAATGGCTCGGCTTCCGGCCCGGGTTGTCCCGGTTCAGAGTAGACCTGTCCCGGGTGAGAGTCCGCTAAAATGTCCCGGATTAGGAAGGAGGAGCAGGCGGAGCGCAGGTGAAGCGGTGCGGGCAGCAGCGGAGGCTCCAGCCGGGGAGCAGGCTCCCTCCACGGGGATGAAGGCGCCGAGCAGCCGCTGCTGTTCCCCGGGCTGAGCTCCGGAGGGTCTGCCCGGGGCAGGAGCGCCCCGAGCGAGAGCAGAGAGTCGATCCGGAACCCGGAGCAGCCGGAGGCGGACACCTCCATCTCCGCCCGGACTCAGGTGAGTCTGACCAAGCAGGTGTGGAGCCACAGCAGCCGGAAACGCGTTAGTTTGACTCTGACGTCATTTTCATGTAAAAAAACAAAAACAAAAAAAAACAGGTCTAAAATAAAGCTATCAGAGTAATCAGAGTATTGATCCGAGGGAAACTGATCAGCAGCTGATCTCAGCGCCAAGACAGTTACACTCTTCCTCCTCCCCCTTCTGTCCTCCTCCTCTTCTTCCTCCACCTCCTCCTCCACCTCCTCCTGTCCTCCTCCCCCTTCTGCCCTCCTCTTCCTCCTCCACCTCCTTCTGTCCTCCTCTTCCTCCTCCTCTTCTTCCTACTCCTGTCCTCCTCCTCCTCCCCCTTCTGTCCTCCTCCTCCTCCCCCTTCTGTCCTCCTCTTCCTCCTCCTCTTCTTCCTACTCCTGTCCTCCTCCCCCTTCTGCCCTCCTCTTCCTCCTCCTCTTCTTCCTCCTCCTGTCCTCCTCCCCCTTCTGTCCTCCTCTTCCTCCTCCTCTTCTTCCTCCTCCTGTCCTCCTCC